GAAAGAAAAGAGTCGAAGGCTATTCGTTTTCCAGATATACGTTTCTTTATGCACATCGCTGAGGTACCCCGACATGTCAGCGGTAAGTTTACGGACTTACAGCGCTAAAATACGGAATTCGATTCCTCGTGGTGGTCAGAGCGCATACAAGCCTTTGCGTAGTTTTGCGTTAAGACAAACACCAATCATAGCCAGGTGGTTAGGGCACTCGACTCGCAATCTAAGGGTCGCTGGTTCGAATCCCAGTCACACTAAACATGCCTGCCCTTTTTCAGCCGTGGGAGCGTTATAATGTTACGGTCAATTCCACTATTCGTTGGTAAAAGAGTAGCCCAAGAGTTGGCGGTGGGTGGTGATGACTAGCTGCCTTCCCTCTAGTCTTACACTGCTAAATTAGGGATGGCTAGCGCAGATAGCCCTCGTGTAGCTTTGCGCAAAATTCAAAAACAAACAAACACTAATAAAATGAGAACGTCACATACTACGATACTAGAAGGCAAAGTTATCATTTTCCACCAAAGCCGATTGTAAGCATCTGACGTCCAATATGGCGGAGTAAGCTACAAACCACATGACTTTTTGACGTCAATGCAAGACCTCTATAGGGGTACAACATACGACACGAATAGAGTGCTTTAATATATATATATATACGTGTGTGTTCGTCTCGCAATATATAGACAAAATCTTTCGTATCTAATACATATGTTGGAACAAGTTTTAAAAAAATATTCTAATAGATTGTCTAAGAACGAAGAAATAATACGTTTTGTGGGTGGTCCATATGACGAAATAATTTCCCTTATTGGCTTTTTTTTATGGCTCTTGTGGTTCCGTATACTTGTATTTGGAAGCACATGCTAATACAATAGTAAACAAACAAAGAATGATCAATAGGTTAACGAAAAATATTTTATGCAGAAAACGCTTGTCTGTCTTCTGTATAGCTCAGTTTATTTTAAGTAGCTCAGTGCATTAGGCGTTTATTTTGATGAAACAATCTAAATAAAACATGTTCAATGAACACATGAGGTTTCTATTTGGATGAAAAGATCTAGACGAAACGTGGTCAGTCAACAACTCAGGCATTTATTTAGTTGAAAGTTTTGGATGAATCGTGGTCAGCTTAGGCTTCTGGGTTGATGAAAAAAATCTTAATAAAACACAATTTAGCTTAGTCTTGAACTTCAATGAATTGATGAAATAAAATATAGATAACAGGGTGGCCAAATGATTTATTTAATACAAGTTAGAATACATCTTAAATTTATTCATTTTAGTTTATCTACGATCATTCAGGTAATTGTAATTCATTAGACTCCTATTATATGTATAGAACATTTTAAATAAAAGAAACACAGGCACGACCTGCAAGCTGTCAAAGGTTTAACATTATGAATTTATCCATTGTAATGGTAGGCCTAAAAAAGCTCTGAGGGGTCTAATTTCTAACAACTCTTCGCTATTTAGTAAAGCAAAATATACCAAATGCATTTTAATTTTTATCTTCAAAGCTTTTTCTAAGGATTTCTTTCAACTACACAATTATATATTAGCTTCATAATTTTTTAATGCATGACGCCTTATTGCACCTCATGTATACAGAACGAACCTTACTAGCGTAACTGATAGTAACCTTTAAAATATTTTCGTATAGCGACATCTGTTGACAATATATGTCAAAAGGCAAATCAGAAAAGACGGACAAAATCCGTTTTTTTGATAACTACCGAAATCTAGAAAGCACTCAAACAACCTAAACTTTAGTTCGTTTTATCTAAACGAAGAACGTTCTAGCTACAAATTATTTTCGCTTTTACTCTGCTTTGAAAATGTTTTTATTACCTGTATATATTATTTACAACATCAATACAATCGTATCCTCTAGAAAATGTACAGTTGTGATCAGAGGCGTAGCGCAGTATGTGTTGCACCTCCCCTGTAAATTTTCCCATTTGGCCCCCTTCATATTCGATTTATTATAGCGCTATGGGCCCATATTTAGCGTGCTCCCACGCACCACACCGCGCAGTCAGTTGGTTACTGCCCTGGGTGTGATACTAAGGTTCATTGATGTCAAATAGAAAAGCCATAAGTTTCCAAAAAAGTGCAACAGCAAGAGAAATCAAAAGACAGAACTCTAAAAATACCCGACTTCTATCACATGACAAAGCAAAGACATCCCATAAATGTACAGGTTACATATTTTTAACCAATGGTTTACACGCAATCGTAAGCTAAGCCATTTGAACAATTATTTGTATTGCCTGTTTGAAATTACTACCTTCCAAGAAGTCCATAAAGAAACACATACACGCTAGCTCGAGGCTTAAGAACAACGGTTGCAGTGTATTACCTTTACCTGTGTAAAAGGATTAGCACATGTTTCCGATCTTGTGACATTCGATCAATACGTGAATACGCCTCAATAGAAATGAATTCAACACTAATTATGGAAATATGAAATTCACGACTACTTCAGTCATTATACAGGACAAATGACATAATCAACTTGATATCACAGAAAAGAGGGTCATCCTATGACTGTTTTCTCACCCAGCTAGAATATCGATGTCTAAAGTATGAAAAACAAACACTACAGAATCTGTGTGCAAAAACAGTGACAACGGATATGCAGGGATGTATAGTTTCTAGAAGTTGCCAAATACAGGAAAAAATTTGTGTCACGGACAACTAAAATCCTCTGGACATCTTGAGGGAAGAATGCATCATCACAGCCAACTAACAACTATCTTGAGGGAAGGATACATTATCACAGCCAACTAACAACCATCTGGAGGGAAAGATACATCATCATAGACAACTAACAACCATCTTGAGGGAAGGATTCATCAGCACAACCAACTAAAAACCATCTGGAGGGAAGGACTCGTCAACACAGCAACTAAGAACTATCTTGATTAAGATCTCGAAATTCATCAGAACACAAACATACAAGAATGCATGTAACAAGTGTCACGCGAGTTGAACTAACAAATACTATTAACTCCAAAGAGAGTGATAATCCCAGTAAGAGACAAGTAACATTCAAACAATAATTTTTAAAGCAATATCAACAAGTTTTTACTTTATTTATTCAACTTTAGAGTTCAGCTACGTTAAAAAAATAAAGAAGCTAAAAAGTTTCAGATGATCAAATATCCAATCAGCACATGTTGTTTGTTATGATAAAGAACTAAGTATTTTTATAGGTTATGAACAAAATTACAAATGTGGTTCCTGGAAACAGTGTCACCTATATTTTGCATTCATTTTCCAAAGATCGTCAACTTTGTATCATTTATTTTTCTGTTTATTGACGGGGAGAAATTCCAACATTATATACAAGATTTGTGCTCATAATTTTCGTTTATTGACGTTTAAAGAACAAAAATATTTTTGTGATAACCCAGACATTCCATTCGGCACACAAGTATAATTTCAGAGGGATAATCAACGATAATTTATAAAATATAAATTATTACTAAACCTTCCATTTGTGTCTTATATCCTTCCCACACGAGGTCACAAAAAGATAATCATCTAAGCCACTAAATCACTATAGGAATATTACAAACGCTCCTATAATACCAACAGAAAACGTCAAAAACGTTAACACTTCGATGCCACTTTTACGAAAAATGAACAAAAGGAGAAAATGTGTTTTATATACATTACAAGAATCCAGTCAGCTAGCTACTAAACAAATTTCACCATCATAATATTATTAAAAACAATTCGGTGCATTTCATATTATACACTAGGTGGCTAGTACTGTATAACACACTGTTTTAGATAACTACTATAGGTGTGTACATACAAAAATGGTTCAAACAAATAAGGTCAGAAGTTACAAAAATTACATTAACACAACCGTATCGAGTCAAGCACGTTTATTAAGCAGTTTGCTTGACTATTGCTTATACACAAGCTCTCAGTTTTCATTATTATATTATAATTTATTATAACTTATCAAAAAAGACGTTTTGTTATAGGTACTGCACTTGTAGCTCTCGATGTTTGGAGTCGCCATATTTTTTCTGAGTGAGGCCAATAAAACGGATGACAGAATTGTGTGCTTTAGAGTATTCCAATAGAAGACAATAAAATAGATGATAGACTTCTGTATGCTTCAGAATATTCTAGCAGACAGAAGTCTATTATCTGTTTTATTGTTTTTTTCCAATACTCTACAGCAGACAGAAGTCTATCATCTGTTTTATTGTCTTCTACTGGAATACTCTACAGCAGACAGAAGTCTATTATCTGTTTTATTGTATTGTATTGGAATACTCTACAGCCAACAGAAGTCTGTCATCTGTTTTCTACTGGAATACTCTACAGCAGATAGAAGTCTATCATCTGTTGTATTGTCTTGTATTGGAATACTCTACAGCAGACAGAAGTCTATCATCTGTTTTATTGTCTTGTATTGGAATACTCTACCCAGTAGAAGACAATAATAGACTTCTATCTGCTGTAGAGTATTCCAATACAAGACAATAAAACAGATGATAGACTTCTGTTGGCTGTAGAGTATTCCAATAGAAGACAATAAAACAGATGATAGACTTCTGTCTGCTGTAGAGTATTCCAGTAGAAAACAGATGATAGACTTCTGTATGCTTTAGAATATTCTAGTAAAAACCAATAAAATAGACAACAGACTTCTCCTGTCAAGACAAAAAAAAATACAATCACCCCCACATTTGCTCCTATCCTGCTTTATCACTTGTCATTGAATTTATACTCATGTAATTCTGGGCATATCAACTGGTGATTAGTAGCTATTTATGACAATTTTAATGTTTATCATAGTTGTTTTATCGTCAAGAGACTTTGAAAACTGCATCCTTCAAACTCAAAGTTTAATATTACAAAAACGACTACAAATTAGTACACTTGTAGCACAATAAATATACTTTGTATTACTCGAGAGTCATGTGATGTATACATTCAATTATGTTGTTGCTTTCAGTAAAAACCAAGTTACTACAAAATTGACACACTACCAATAACATATTTAATGCTACATCAAATACTGATTAACAACTATAGTTACAGCAATGGTGTTAGTGAACACAACATCATTACCCAAATTTATACAAATAAATCAGATGAAAAAGTCAAAAATGTACAAACACAATTTACAAAAACTGTCCTACATTAAACTGTATTTTTCTCTCATCCAGATGAATCTATACTGTGGCAAACCTTTCCATATTTAGTATTAACTTGTCTCTTTGATAATCTCTTTGTTCTTAGTGTCTTAATCCACATACAATCTACAATTTTCTGCTTACAATCTAACAATCAACGTAAATCTTGACTGTAAAATATTTTTAATGAAATAAAAATCAGATTGCAGAAAATGTATTATGGTTACGAATGGCTGCATATCGGTAAAGTTGTACATGTGTATTCTGTATTTCACTTCAGGTCACTATTCACAACATGACTTTCTTCACAACCTGCGATAAGTCATTCCACTGTACGTACATGTGTATTCTTTATTTCACTTCAGGTCACTACTCACAACATGACTTTCTTCACAACCTGTGATAAGTCATTCCACTGTATATATGTGTGGATTCTGTATTTCACTTCAGGTTACTATTCACAACATGACTTTCTTCACAACCTCAGATAAGTCATTCCACTGTACGTACATGTGTATTCTGTATTTCACTTCAGGTCACTATTCACAACATGACTTTCTTCACAACCTGTGATAAGTCATTCCACTGTATGTACATGTGTATTCTATATTTCACTTCAGGTCACTACTCACAACATGACTTTCTTCACAACCTGCAATAAGTCACTCCACTGTACGTACATGTGTATTCTGTATTTCACTTCAGGTCAATATTTACAACATGACTTTCTTCACAACCTGTGATAAGTCATTCCACTGTACGTACATGTGTATTCTGTATTTCACTTCAGGTCAATATTTACAACATGACTTTCTTCACAACCTGTGATAAGTCATTCCACTGTATATACATGTGTATTCTGTATTTCACTTCAGGTCAAGTTTAGTGTTGCAGTTTTTCAATGTAACTGAAAACTATTTATAACAAGATTATATTGTTGTTAATGAAAACATAATAATAAAAACATGTTCTGAATTTATTTTATAATCACACAGAACTAAAACACTTCTTGAGAAAATTTCATTTCAAATTTGAAGCTTGTCAAGGCAATGTGTCTTGAATTTACTAAATGCACACAAAGTAGCTTTGAATAACTTTACCTTCTTTATAACAAAGATGAATGTCACTGTTTTTCTACTTTCTCTTCACTTTTTTGTCCATTTTCTTGTACACTGATTTCATCTTCAGCTTTATTGTTAGTACTTGCTCCAGTTTGCTGAACGCTGGATTTGGAGATAGCATGATCTCCATTTTTCCTAGGCTCTGTGTCCCTTGAGGTCTTGCCACAGTTCTGACGATCGTTTCTGTTCATATTTCTAGACTTCACAAAATCTCTTTCATCATTTTCACTATTATCTTTTTTCCAGTGGTCGTGTTCTCTGCCACGACCATATCTTCCTTTTTCTCTGGACCAATCATGATCGTTTAAATTCTCTCCACGTTGCCAAGCATAAGGTATAGGATGGCGATTAGATACTGCCTGTTCCATCCTCTCCCTGCTGTCTTGAAATCTTCCATCAAATTTTGCTCTTCCAAAGTGTGGTTCAAAGAATTCTCTAGGAAGAAATCCTGGCCGAGGTCGCATTCTATCTGGGTGTACAGCAAAGTGTGGTCGGTTCCAATCAAATGATGGTCCTCGTGGCCTAGATCTTCCTCCTAGCTGTGAGCCAACAAATTCCATTCTAGGTCTTGGCCCACCACGGGGAGGAAATCCATGTGGAGGAGGACCTCTAACTGGATTTAAAAGTGGTGAATATGGGGGAAAATTCATATGTTCTGGTGGAAGTGGACCTCTAGTTCTTGGCCCAAGGTCAGGGGGCATTTTGGGGGGAGAAAGCAGAACTTTCCTTTCATTCCCTGATGATCTTTGTTGAAGAGCACTTTCACTAACTTGCTGTTCTTGGGGCCTTGTGTTTGTTGGAATTTGACCTAATTGATTGGACTGGAAACTAGGTCCAGGTAAAGGATAATGAGAATTACCTGGACTTCTTAAATCCAAAGATTGCTGCTGCACTCCCAAATTACTAGATGCCAAAAGAGATGGATGTCTTAAAGGAGAAAAAACTAGATTTGGCATCCTGTTACCATTATGTCCTTGGCCTTGGTATGGGCCTGACATGTGTGGACCAAGACCAGATGTAGGGGGATGAAGAATGGTACAGGGTATGTGAGGTGAGCCAAACTGTGAAAGAGCTGCCACTGTGACTGTAGTAGTAGAGTTTTCTGTGCTGACTGTAGATGGTGGTGGGAGTTGACTGTTTACTGGCCCCCAAGAAACCAGTCCTTGATGAATCATTCCAGTCTGGAACTGTCCTGGTGGTCGAGCTGGCTGCTGGAAACCCCCAACAGAAGGAAGAAAAGGCATCTGTCCTACAGGTTGGGGAATGGTTGAGTGAACAGGAGGAGGTACCCCTGATGAGGGTTGTTCAACTGAAGAAACAGTTGACAAATTGGAATGGTTTGAAAGTGAAGGGATATGTGGCAATAAAGAGAAATTTCCACTAGTTGTAGTGGTGGTACTGGTGATGTGCTGGCTATTTACTGAGTTGGACTCTAGAGGCAAACAAGTTCCTTCTTCTTCAGTTGGAGTAGCATCTCCTGAAAGATCCATGGACTGAGAAATTGCATCTGCTGTGCTGTGAACTGGGAAAGTTGATATACACAGACTCTGGACTGTACTAAGAGCTTGTAGCTGTTGACATGTAGAAACAGCAGCCATGCTGGGAATGGGTGGCAGCCAGTGTCCTCCTTGCATCGGCTGAGTGTTTGGGGGAATCATCACAAGTGAATTCTGAGGAATTCCCACTGTCATTGGCATCACCACAGACTGCGTTGGCATAATACCTGTGAAACAAATATTACAGATTATCAAACGTTTGGAGCAGTATTACTTTATTTATCAAGTTTATCACATTATTACAAATACATAATTTCTTACTTGTTTTTAATCTCAAAACATGTGTGCTTAATTAAGTCTAAATTAAGTCACATAATGACAATTATTTTGTTTTTGAGAAAAATAAATTCAAAGAAATTTGCACAAGCTAAAAATTAAAAGTATACTAGTTTTCTAATATTCTGTTGCTCTTTTGTAAAATCTCACCAGGCACAGCAATTCCAAAATGTGGCTGTACAATTTGAGGGACCACTTGCATATTTACTGGAGGAAGTCCACCAACTGTATTTGACAAAGAAGAGTCTGCATGGTTAGCTGCTTGCTCCCGATTCTTTGCAAGATCTTTTTCTGCCTGCTTTCGAGCTTCTTCTTTCTCTTTTTGTCGTGTTCTTTGTTGTTCTGAAACAATATTTTATCTAGTTTTATAAAAAACATTTCAACAAAACAATCAATTTGAAACAGCATATTAAAATTATATATATATTTGTCCAGAAGGACTCTACTTGCATTTACTTGTGGTAATTCAAATAGATTTTACTGATGGTTTATTTGACTTGAATTTCATTGGTGTTTTAATGATAATAATCAAGATGAATTTCTCTAGTGATCTAATCACAATAATTCAGGAAGATTGGATTCTACTGGTATTCAATTCACAACAGTCCAATAAGCACCATAAAAATAATCCTAAATCTTATTAACATTTAAATACAATTTCATTTAACACTGTGTCTTTTCTTTTTTGATAATTCAACCTAATATTTACAATCTTACTAAAATTTATAATGATGCATACTGGTTATACAATGGATCAGCTGAAAGCTTTAACAATCTTAAAAAAAGTATCACTAGGCAACAGCAAGTTTCTGACTTTCTTCATCAGTCCTCACTCACCTTTTAAGTTTTCTGGCACTGATTCATCATCAACCACACCTCCATCTTCTAGAGCATCAAGATCAACATCATCTGGAATTTTATGGTAGGGAATATAGCTAACTCCCACTCCTACTTCCCAGAAATCTTTATACTCCTTCCCCTTCACACCCTTACCAGGAGCCCAGGCCATCTGAGAGGAAACCAATATTAACTTCTACAAGCCCCCTTTTTAGGTGAGGTATAATCACATTAAAAGTCATAGGTGTAGAAACAAAAGCTTATTTAACACTTCTAACAATCCTTTTACCATCCTATAAGGATCACATACATACAAAAAGCACCTCCTGGTTTCTTTACTAAGTTGCTGCCAAATCTGGTATAAACTTTCTAAATAATCCCTAGTTGCTATGTGAAAAAAATAGGTTTAAGTTGTGAAACATCATTTTTAATAACACAATAAAAATATTTTCTTTCATCTTGGAAGTTTTTCAGAAAGTTCCATTTTTATGTCCAATCAGTTTTGACTTGTTTCATAGCATCAATATATTTCTTTTCATACCATATTTTGTCAATTGAAACATTTGACTTCCAACTGTGAATCACACAAACCTAGTATGAATAATGACATCGACATAAAATTTACCGGTGAATAATGACATCAACATAAGATTACTAGTAAACAATGACTCTGACACAGATTTACTGAGTGAACAATGACATCCACAGAAGATTTACTAGTGAACAATGACTCTGACACAGATTTACTGAGTGAACAATGACATCCACAGAAGATTTACTAGTTAGCAATGACATCGACATAAGATTTACTAGTAAACAATGACTCTGACACAGATTTACTGAGTGAACAATGACTGACACAGATTTACTGAGTGAACAATGACATCCACAGAAGATTGACTAGTGAACAATGACTCTGACACAGATTTACTGAGTGAACAATGACATCCACAGAAGATTTACTAGTGAACAATGACTCTGACACAGATTTACTAGTGAACAATGACACTGACATAAGATTTACTAGTGAACAATAACATTGACATAAGATTTACTAGTAAACAATGACTGTGACACAGATTCACTGAGTGAACAATGACATCCACAGAAGATTTACTAGTTAGCAATGACTCTGACACAGATTTACTAGTGAACAATGACACTGACATAAGATTTAGTGGTGAATAATGACACTGACTTAAGATTTACTGGTAAACAATGACACTGACATAAGATTTACTAGTGAACAATGAAACTGACATAAGATTTACTAGTGAACAATGACATTGACATAAGATTTACTAGTGAACAATGAAACTGACATAAGATTTACTAGTAAACAATGACATTGACATAAGATTTACTGGCGAATAATGACACTGACTTAAGATTTACTAGTAAACAATGACACTGACATAAGATTTACTAGTGAACAATGAAACTGACATAAGATTTACTGGCGAATAATGACACTGACTTAAGATTTACTAGTAAACAATGACACTGACATAAGATTTACTAGTGAACAATGAAACTGACATAAGATTTACTAGTGAACAATGACATCGGCATAAGATTTACTAGTAAACAATGACATTGACATAAGATTTACTAGTGAACAATGACACTGACATAATATTTACCAGCAAGTAATGACATTGACATAAGATTTACTAGTGAACAATGACTTTGACACAGATTAACTAGTGAACAATGAAACTGACATAAGATTTACTAGTGAACAATGAAACTGACATACGATTTACTAGTGAACAATGACACTGACATAAAATTTACTAGTGAACAATGAAACTGACATAAGATTTACTGGCGAATAATGACACTGACTTAAGATTTGCTAGTAAACAATGACACTGACATAAGATTTACTAGTGAACAATGAAACTGACATAAGATTTACTAGTGAACAATGACACTGACATAAGATTTACTAGTGAACAATGAAACTGACATAAGATTTACTGGCGAATAATGACACTGACTGAAGATTTACTAGTAAACAATGACATTGACATAAGATTTACTAGTAAACAATGACATTGACATAAGATTTACTAGTAAACAATGACATTGACATAAGATTTACTAGTGAACAATGACATCGGCATAATATTTACTGGCGAATAATGACACTGACACAAGATTTACTGGGGAACAATTATATTAAAAAAGATTTACTGATTGAACAATGACCTCACCTTTGAAAATGGTAACATAGTGGGATATTTTGTTAACATTTTTGGTTGAGACCAATTTATACCTGTTAATTATAGTATGTGTATGTTGTTTAAATACAATAAACTTAACAATACTTGTCATCCAATAGTTTGCCATTGCAAGCCTAAATTTACATTACTCTCTGAACCTAAGTATCCTTCAAACATACTGTTGGTATATTGATGTATTGTCAATGAAAAATATTCCTTTCAAACAGACATGTTATAACACAATTACATAATCAAGAATAGAAATAACATCATAAGAAACTAAGAGAAATATCCAGGCCTTTATTTGGTTGGAAATATTTTTCACAATTTTATCTGGAGGTTGCTTTGTTTATTGCGACCTTGCAAAGGTTCATTTTTACGAAGACCTAAAATAATGCAGATTACAGCTCCCTTTATTGGTTAGACCACCTTATACGAAAGTAATTTAAACCATTATAATCATTGTTGATAAACCAAAATAAATATCAATCTAACCACAACTGTTGAAATAAATACAAGTCTAAGAAAGATATCAGAAATTTGAAAAAAATCTACAGTTCAAACACTTAAAAGATACAAAAACAATTAAATTTTCCACACTGGGTTTCTTCTGATGATAACTGTTAAGCCAAGAAAACTGAGTTTTTGGGGAATACGTTGTTCGTCAAACACAGTTTTGCTTACTTGTACAATATCATATTAATACAGGCCATGAATCAGGCTCTCAAGGGCCTGCAAGCTACCTATTAGGAACTACTTTCCTAAAGCATTTATATATATACATAAAAAGTAAATGATATCAAACACTATACCTGGCCAGTCCCTGCTTGAAAAAAAACCATTTTGTGATAGTCACTACAACATCCCCAGCCAGCCTCTGATATAAAGAACCAATCTGTTTATAGTCACCACAATGTTCCTAACCAACCTCTGATATAAAGAACCATTTTGTGTATAGTCACCACATCTCTAGCTAGCCCTAACATAAAGAACCATTTTGTGTATAGTCACCACATCTCTAGCTAGCCCCTAACATAAAGAACCATTTTGTGTATAGTCACCACACAGCATCCCTAGTAGACCCTGATATAAAAAATGATATTGTATATAGTCACCAAGCATCCTTGATCAGTCTCTAATATAAAGAATTTCTGTGAGTGTAGACATGGTAGAGGCTTGCACAGTCAAAACTAACCATACATATCTCATGGTAGAGGCTTGCACAGTCAAAACTAACCACACATATCTCATGGTAGAGGCTTGCACACTTTAAACCTAACCATACATATCTCATGGTAGAGGCTTGCACACTTCAAAACTAAACATACATATCTCATGGTAGAGGCTTGTATACTTCAAAACTAACCATACATATCTCATGGTAGAGGCTTTTACGCTTCAAAACTAACCATACATATCTCATGGTAGAGGCATGCACACTTCAAACCTAACCATACATATCTCATGGTAGAGGCTTGCACACTTCAAACCTAACCATACATATCTCATGGTAGAGGCTTGCACACTTCAAAACTTTAGAGAACTTTTATCATAATCTGAATATTTGTGTTATTGCTAATCCAAAACGTTAAAAAAAATTGCTGGTATTTTTACACATAAAATACAGTTACCTTGATTGCACTTCCATGTAATTTTAAGTTTTTTAAAGACTGAAGGGCCTTATATGCATCCTGTCTCCTATCCATACAAACATAGACACATCCTCGAGGAACTATCATCTGAAAGAGAAACAAAGATCACTGATACTGTAACAAAGCACTGTGGGTAACATCCTTAAAGGGGTATTACCATAAGCACATCCTGTTACTGATGGAGAGAGAGTAATTATAAGTTATCTCTTCCTTAATATCACTAATATCACTAATATCTATTCTCTATTTTTTTATTGACTACTTTGCTCACCTTAACTTTTTGTTCTGTTGGAAGAAAATGTATTTCCTGCTAAACACAAGATTCATCAATATTAGAAATAACTGAAACATCAATGAAATAAACACAACAAGATCACATTTTATGATTTAGGACAAACAAATATGTAATTTAAACTTACGTCAATACTAGCAATGGTACCAAATTCTGCAAAGACGTCATAAATGTTGGCTTCTGATGCTATTTTTGGTATGTGTCCGAGCCACAAGGTGGTACTACAAACTGAAAATAAAAACTATGAAAACCTGTTATACAATAATAAGGAATTATTGTATATAAGTATATTACAAATACTCACTCCTAAAAAAAAACAACAGGACTGTCTATCATCTATAAAAATATATTGTTCCTGACCATATCTACATTTACTTCTTATCTTCACTTTATCAACACAGTGAAGAAGTTGTGATCATTTTTATAACATAAAAAATAAATGCAGTTCAGTTATTTGAACTTGTAAAATATACACAAAAACTTTTATACATTAATCATACATAGACTTCTGAATAACTTCTTGAACTTTCACCAAAATTTAAAACATTTTCATACTAACCACAGTCACCTGTGACACATTGTGAACATATATGGCCTCTCTTCTTTTGTATAAGCTAATGCAGTCATAAGTATAACTTATACAAAACAAAAACCGCTCCTTAAACAAACTTGGCATTTTGTGCTTATACTATGCCCCCATTACCCATGGCAATTAAATGAAACATTTTCCATAGCTTTAGATATATAACTAGAACAATATACTTGTTCAGATACGCTACAAACAATATATTTGTTCAGATATACTTAGAATAATATATTTGTTTAGATACACTTATAACTGTATATTAAATGAGAGAACCCAAATATTTCTCAAAATACCTACAAATACCTCATGGGTAACTGAAAAGAAATCCTTGGATTTTCTTCCAAATTTTTCTTTCCACAAGATCATATGTACAAGACATTTCATTACCAATCAAAATTAAAATACAACACATAAGATAAACTATTTCATCCATTAATTTTACAGAACTGTGAAGTTTTAATAAGTACAGTAAGCCTAAAATGTAACATGAAGTACACTACAGGTAATGCAAAGTACAATACAGGTAATATTAAGTACAAAATAGGTAATTTGAAATACACTTTGGATAGCGTGAAGTACACATGGGTAACTTGAAGTACAAAATAGGTAATATGAAATACACTTTGGATAATGTGAAGTACACTATGAGTTATATGAAGCATCCTATGGGTCATGTCAAGTACAGAAATGACCATCCAGAAAGATTGCATTAACTATAGATACACATGCTCTGTGAACACATTTTACATCACTTTTATATCTACAAGGAATCAATACAAATAAACAAGAATTTCAAAGGCTTTAGTTTTACTTCTAGTGTTTCTTATGTGAAAGATTATCCAAGCTGTTCAAACAGTATTACTTTACTGTTACACATAACTTGTGTATGTGTGTGTGTTTTCTTAGAGCAAAGCCACATTTGGACTATCTACAGTATTCACTGAGGGGAATCAAAACTCTGATTTTTTTTAGTGTTTTAAATCTGAAGACTTACTGCTATCCCACCGGCAGAGACACATAACCTAGTTCCCACTCACTTGATCTGGAACTTTCAGAGTGTCAGATGTATGCATTTTACAAAACTTATAACTAACCCATGATAAAAAATCTAAAATTCAACTTTCCTAGAATACCAGAAAATAATAAAAATCTATCACAAAAATAGGCAAATCACATCACTGCTTATGAAATAATGTTTTTAACGTATACATTTCTTTTTGAAGAAAACCATTACCACATAAGTATCCCTTTTTTATAGGTGGTAAGCCTTTCTTCCTTCTTTCTCTCTCTCGTGATCTAGACCGAGATCTGTCCCGCTTATGGTGAGACCGAGAGCGTGAACCAGACCGAGATCGTTGTCTTCTAGGAGACCTAGACCTGCTTCTTCTACTATGTCGGCGAGATGACCTGGATAAGAGAAAAACTGTAATAATATCCTTAATTCTCAAGCTTTATTATTCCTTGAATATTTGACTGAATCGCTATGTGTCCATATAAACAAGAAATTCATTATTCCTGCTGTAAATACCTTCAAATAAGCAGAATAAGAATGTTACAAGATCAAGTTAACAACTGATATTAATATTCAGCTGTATACACTTTTTTAAAAAAAGGTCTGTACTTGTTTTTTTAAATGCCTGAACTGTTACATACTAGTGATTAGTGTAGCTGGCCAAGTGTAATGTTACTGTGATTAGTAAACTGTGCTTGTTTTTATTAACTTTTACATTACTGGTGATTAGTGTAGCAGGCCAAGTGTAATGTTACTGTGATTAGTAAGCTGTGCTTGTCTATATCAACTGTTACATTACTGGTGATTAGTGTAGCAGGCCAAGTATAATGTTACTGTGATTAGTAAGCTGTGCTTGTTTTTATTAGCTGTTACATTACTGGTGATTAGTGTAGCAGGCCAAGTATAATGTTACTGCGATTAGTAAGCTGTGCTTGTCTATATCAACTGTTACACTAATCACCACTTAGGATTGTTAAGTATAATCATTCAATTATAATATCTTTTTTTTATCAACCATAACATTCATCATACAGATTTTAGATATACTTGTAGAATTCAGTCCTTTTGTGGAGTTAAAAAACCATACATTAACACATTGAAAATAATCTCTCCTTTCACCTAAGTTAGTGTATCTCACGAGTATCTTCAAACTAGGTGAATAATGAACTTGTCTGGTCTCATACGTACAGAGAAACAGCCATGACCATATCTAAACTCTGTAGATAATCTACTTCAATCAACAAGGCAGTAAGTGTTCTGCACTGCATGAAGATTAGTAGATAAAATTTAAGTCTACAATATACATAAGGGAAGTTAACTTTCAGTACAATAGAAATCAGCCAAGTTAATAAATTTCTTTTGTTGCTAATTTTGTGTCATTCATCAATAAGTTTACAATAATATGTAAACCATTACCAAATGTCAAACCCTCTCTTGTAAAAATGCATTTCTACACCCCATAAACAAACTGTAGGTGACAATGTGACTTTTGACCTAGGTACAGAATCAATTCTCTTCTACAGCTTATAAACAAACTGTTAGTGATAATGTAATTTCTGATTTATGTGTAGATCTACTAAAACACAGTTGAGTAAAAAAAGAGATAAGTAAGTCCAGTAATTGGTTTTAGCTGTTCATTATATGATTTTATCATCTTATGTACTACAAAGCTTCTTTCCTAAATTAACCAAAACTGCTAAAATGCCTTTATAGACTTATCTGAACTTATTTTGTTAGAAGAGTAAGAACCTTTATAAATCCACCTATACTTGTTAATTTGCTGCACAAATTCCTTTATTACTCTTTGTTTGTATTTATGAAAGACTTTTTATAAACATAACCAGACTTGTATTGTAAATTGCAAGTTTTTTTCACTTTATCTTATTTTTTGAATAAGTGTTTTTTATGAACCTAATAGAATTTGATTTTTTTGCTACAAAAGTGCCTTGTGAACATAGCTAGATTTCATCTTTTACTACAATAGTTGTTTTACAATATTAAATAGTCTAAGGGTACAGGGCTCTAAATTTACAGTGGCTAGTTGACAAAAGTAGTGTTTAGCCAGTGACCATTAAGGAGCAACGGGATTTTTTGTGTTGATAATCCAGGCACAATTATGAATATTCACACCAGTTGAAAAAACAGTAAACACTACTTAGAAAAAAGCTTGCTGCAAGCACAACATTTATAGAAAAACCCATACTATGATAAGACATTTCTACTAGTTTGTGGACATTGTTCTTGTACATTTTTAAATAGGATTCTTCAAGATAAAAAATAGCAAGTAAAAAACAATATGTTCCCATGGCATTTCATTCCTATGGTATCATTTTTTTCAATTTCATATTAGGAAATGTAATTCTTGTCACAAATGCATATATATACTTTGATACTACATTAAAAGATGAGAATTGAAAATGTGACATCAACTGGAAATTCAAGTCAATTGGCTAATTACATTCATTAAGAGTATGCAACTCACAAACCATTTATTATTATTTGTTTAGTTTTTGTCAACATAGTAGATACTTTTTGCAAACAGCTTATAAAATAACTGGAAAACACTTGCAAGTGTCCAAAGAAAGTTAGTTTCAAGCTCTGAAGGTATCCCCCTTCAACATACCTGGGCTTGGATCGAGAAGGAGACAAAGATTTTTCCCTTTCATCTTTATCCTCTGTCATTACTGAGTTTAGTGCTCTATTTCTTTCATCCTGGTCTTCTAGAGGAAGGGATATATTGTTAATCATGCCAAAGGACTGTTGGCTGTCATCTTGTTCAGAGTTTACAGTATTTGGAGGTAGAGGAGGCTGTTTATAGTTTACAGGCAGATAGTTGTTGCCAGGCCCCTGCCCAGTGGATAGGTATGGTGGGGGTTCAGGAATGTATGACAAACTACTGCTGCCAAAAACTGTAGCATGAGGAGGATGTTCAGGAAGTTGATGGTCATTAGGAAATGGTAATTCCTGCAAAACATGTAAAACTGATGCTGTAATATGAAAAATTACTTCCATTAAAAATGTGTGGTACTGTCAATGTGTTCAGGGAACTTATAAAAGGAAACACACCATCTCATACATATCTACAGGCTAATAGGATATTGTTAAAAACACAAAACACTATCAGTATGAAAAACAATGTTTAGAATGAACAATGACTGTCTTGACAGCAACATTCTGAAGGTGTTATTTTAAAAGAAAGTTGACTTAAAACAAGAATCTATAAAATTTAAGACTGACATCCAGGATAGCAAAGCAAGATCTTTTACACTAAATGGGTCCTCTCACACATACTTATAGGGTTGAGTACATTATATTAAAATAATATAAAGTCATGGTGGAATGCCATGTGTCAGAACTATATTCTAGCACTGCTTGGCCTTCCTTAGATAGTGTAATGTTACCAAAATCTGATCAAGTTTGGAAAGAGTAAGTAAGAGCCCTTTTTAATGCAAAATATTCATACATTTAGATCATAAATCTGTACTCAGATCTGATATTTAGAATTTCCAATATGGGGATATCCCTTGAACATATGGCATTGGAAAGCAAAGGGATATGGATCAGCATGGGGAACCAAGACCAAAGAGAAAAAGATCTGCAACAAGTTATACCTCAACCATGGTAAGAAAAGTGTGGCATTAGTTGTGGTAAGTAAAGTGTAGTATTTTATAACAAGTGAGAACACACAAATACAAAAGTCAGTCTATGTGTTACAGGCAACAGTACACAACACAATCAAGAAAGATCTTTTCTGGAAAAGTGACACAAGTTACATGTAAAGAAGTTGTTTCCAAAACATAACAGTTTAACTGTTGTATACCTCAAGTAGCTGGATAATAAAATGGGTATTCATGCTGCTCTATATAAAAATATACCAATCTAGAGGCTGGATTCAGAGCTTGTGTATTTCCACGTGTGATCAGACTGTTGAATGGTCACTGAAAAACCATCATCCTCATACACTACATGGATTAATGAAAGCTGCACTATTATGAGTGTGCTTTGAATATGACAGTCTTGGGACGGAGCCTTTTCAAAATGAAACTATGCTGCAGAGCTATTGTAGAGATGCACCATTGTCAGATAGAACATCACAATAAATGGTGACATGGACTGCAACAATGTGTAGCTGCTCCAACATTGTTTTGATATAAGATACTCAACACCTGTATAATGAATAAAAACCCTATAACCCAAGCACTTTCAAACAGTGGACCTTTCGAAAGTGCTCAGGTTATAGGGTTTTATTCATTTCTATCAAGACTTCTTGAACCTACATGTTTTTATAACATCATGAACAACTCCTGTACAATGTAATTGTTTTGTAATGACTGATTAAAAATATCCTAATTCTAAAAAATGTTTTACACTGTATATACAAAATCACTCACTGATGATGCTTGCTGTGGGTATAAAAGGTCCTTCTGCTCCTGTATATTATCTAACATGGAAAAGTCTGCTTTAAATACTTCATTTTGCTGTATAGTTTGTTGCATCTGCTGTAGCTGCTGCAGAAGTTCAGGATTAGATAACAAATTTTGGGCCATACTAGACAAAACAAAATTCATAATTATAATCATATTAGTAAGAGAGACTCTGAACATCATTCAAACTTAATAATTATAGTCATACCAACTGGATGTGCTCAGAAATGTTCTTCAGAACAGAATAATAATAATATTCTTATATAATTTACACAAGTAAACATAACAAACAAAATGAGAACAGGATATAAATAAAAAACTATCAGGTAACATGTTGATATAACATAAACATACCAAACAAAATGAAAACAGGATACAAATAAAAACAATTGGGTAACATGCTGAAAAAAAAGAAACATATCAAACAAAACAACAACAGGATTTCACCCATTCGAGATGGGTGAAGGGCCATGTCATCTTGTTTGTTAACTCGCATTCAAAATTGTATTCAACTACTATTTCATGAATTTATGTCAATAAATTTGGTATCAAACTGTAGATTATAATTTTAGTAAATATTAAAAACATATAAACATTGATTTGTGTGTGTGTGTGTCACATGGTATGTTGAATGCAGCACT